GCTACTCTGGGTTTATATTGGGCCACATGTGCGGTCTTGGAAGCATCTTGGGGGCCTCTTTGGATGCCTTGCGGCCTTCCTGTTCTGCCTGACGCCGTCTGGGCTGGGTTGGGGGCCTCTCTGTGGCCTCACTTGGGTTTATCGTGGCCGTAGTGGACGCCAGCGTGGGCGTTTGGGAGATCTTGAGGCCATCTTGGGCCGTCTTGGGTGCATCTTGGGCCATCTTACCGTCTTGGAGGCCATCTTGGCCGTCTTGGAGGCATCTTGGAGGCCATCTTGGCCATTTTGGCGTCTTGGAGGCCATCTTGGGCGTCTTGGAGGCCTCGTGGGCCGTCTTGAGGCCCTCTTGGGCCTTCTTGGGGGCCTCTTGGGCCGTCATGGGGCCATCTTGGAGGCCTCTTGGGTGCTGTTGGGGCGATGTTGGGGACCTCTTGGGCCGTCTTGGGCCGTCGGAGAGCTGAAAAGAAGAACATGCCAAAATCCTTGAAAAACCCAAGGAAAATCAATGATTTTAACCTATTCGGGCCTTCCTGGAGGGCGTCTTGGAGGGCTCTTGGGCCGTCTTGGAGGCCTTGTGCGGGCCTTTTGGGCCGTCTTAGACCATCTTGAGGCCATCTTGGGCCGTCTTGGGTGCATCTTGGAGCCATCTTACCCGTCTTGGAGGCCATCTTGGCCGTCTTGGAAGCATCTTGGAGGCCATCTTGGGCCATCTTGGCCGTCTTGGAGGCCATCTTGAGCCAAATTGGGGCAACAAAGGCATTGACAGATGGATTTTCGGAAACTTGCGGGTGGCCGGCGGGGCGGGCCGAAGCCCACTGGGGAGTTCTTTTAGAAAAAGAACCAAAACCAAAACCTGAAACATCCAGCACGCCGTGCACCCCTGTGGCAAGACCACAGGGGGCGGCGGATCAAGCGACGAGAGACAGGCGAAGCCGGCGCGCCGAAGCTGTTGGCCGATGCGGCCGCGCCCCGCAAAGAGTTCTAAAAACAGACAGCGCCGGCGCCGGCGTGCGCCTCTCAGAGCGCGCTCGGACTTCTGGGCGAGGTGCTGTTTCGCGACGCTGGGCGAGCCTAGCTCCGCCGGGCCGCGCGACCGCGCGCCGCCGCCTGCCTCGCGGCCGGCGCCTCCTGCAGACACGCCTGGAGGCAGGCTGGCACGGCGCTGGCCAGCGGCTGGATTAGCAGCCCGCCCTGCAGGACGGCAGCGAAGTGCGACTCCGCCAGCTTCCCCAGCTTGAACACGTCGCTGTGCACCTGGGCCATCTCTGCCAGAAGCTTTGTCTCCTTCGCATACCGCTTCATGGAGCTGGGGGCCTGCCAACAACCCCGCCTCTGCGTCTCCGCGGGGGTCCGCCGACGCGTGAGGATGTCCTCTGACGCGCCCCCGTGTCGGAGGCTGTAGAGGTGCGGCGACAGCGCCTGCAGGCCCAGCGCCTCCACCGCGCGGCTGAAGCGGCGCCGGAGCTCCGCCGGGCTGAAGGACCAGAGCGGCTGGTCGTCGGCCGCCGCGGACTTCAGCGCCTCCAGCGGGGCCTCCAACCATCGATCGAAATCGATGACCACCGATTCCTCGAACAGGTTCGTCTTCCCCGGCTGCTGGGACTGGAGGTCGTGGAGGAGGAGCCCCCACCTCGCGTGCTGCGGACCCGCGGCTGGCGAGGGGCGAATCAGGTCCCGGCCCTTCAGGCGGAAGCACTCGCACGGCCTGAGGTAGCAGCTGAACGTCAGGGCCACCCACAGCGCCATGCTGGGCAGGCCGGCACAGGCCAGGTGGCCTGCTATCGCCAGGGCCGCTGCCTTGGGCAGCGGACAGCGGGTCCGAGGAGGGATCCGCCGTTTCCACGCCGCGGCGCAGCGGCAGCTCCGTGGCAGGGAGCCTCTGGCAGCGCCCTGCAGCTCCGGGATGAAGTACGCCATCGCCGCCAGGAGCTGGGATCCGGTGTCCGACGCCTCGCCCGCCACAAACAGCGCGTTCATGAAGTCGCAGAGGTGGCTGTCCAGCTGGTTCCAAGTGGCCCAGTCCCTATTCGCGTCGCTGCAGTGCGAGTGGAACCTGAAGGCCAGCCTGCGGTACTGCGCCTCGGTCACTGGCCGAACCGCCGCGCGCTCCAGGGCGGACAGGCCTAGGACAGGGCGGCTGCTCGCCACCAGCGACGCCGCCAGCAACGCCCGCTGCTGGGCCAGGGCGCCGGCAGCAGTCCTCCGCCCCCGCGGGGCTGCGGCCGGCCGCCGCTTGGGCGCCATCAGCGGCCAGCGGCAGAGGCGCCGCCGCGAGGCCCTGGGCGCGCGGAGCCCGCTCCCCTGAGAACCGGCCCAGACGGCCTCGAGAGAGAGGGTCCGAGGGGTTGAGCTCGGACGGGATCCAGCGAACGTGGATGCGGCTCCCCGTGGCGAGGCCCAAAGCAGCCAGTTTCCGAAGAGGCCCCCGAAGATGGACTGGGCGGGCCCTGCCTTTGGTCGCCCTGAGAGCCAGGGGGAGGTCGTCGACGAACACGGGGATTCGCTTACCGACCGCCGACGAGTCCCTGAACAGATGCCTCCAGGCCAGCAGGAGGGCCTCGCCCTCTCGCTCCAGAATGTTGGACCACGGCGGCACCTTGACCGCCGCGACGTTCCCCCGGCTCCCAGGATGAAGAAGCCCCGCCGGGACCTCGTTGAACTCGGCCTCTGAGACCTCCAGGTAGCTGAGCCCCAGGTTACCCGAGAAGACCGCCGTGACCTTGCCAGGAGGGGGGTGCTGTTCATGATCCTGTTGGAGGGCTCGTTCCCTGGCTCGCTCAGCCCCCTCGACGCGATATCACCAACGCTCGCAAGTCCGGCCGATAGCTGCGACGCGATCTGGCTCAAGATGCCGATGAACCGCCCCGAGACCAAAATCACTTGCATCACTACAGCAGACTCGATGATGCCACTCGGCCGACACGTCGAGGCGAAGTAGCGGGAGGAGACACCGAACCTGCCAAAGTTCTCGCCGAACCGACTGGCACAGGGTGGAAGGAGTAGATCCCGCGAGCTCGACAAAGGCATATACAGACTGCAAGATGCTGGGCCCCTCGCGGCGTATGAGGGTAGTCCAAGTGATATGGCCAACCAACACCCGCATGAGAGCCCCACTGCAACGGCCTCTCCTCAGTATCTCCTCCAACGCATAGCGAAGACACCAGATGTTTTTGTTGCGCACCGACAGCTCACAACCGCGTCGACGACTCAGTCCCAAAAACTCTGCGTCCTCGGACGCCGACTGAAGCTCGTGGACAGCATGGCCGAGGGACTGCAGGCGCCGTGAAATATGCTGAAGGCGTTCGTTCACACCCCTCGCTGACTTACCAAGGGTAAAGAAATTGTCGACATAGGCTGCTGCGCCGATTGACGTAGGGCACCTTAGACACAGGCCGGGCCTCCCGTCCTCCACCAAATCGGAATCCACGAAACCGGCGTCACGAACCACATTTCGGAGACAGGCCTGGCAGACGTGCATGGCCCAGTTGAACCCCATGGGCATGGCCCGCAGACGCGGCAGTACGGCATCCCCAAGGCCACCCGGGACGTCCGGCACACCGAGCGAAACGAGGGCCCCAGCGTCGACCGCGGGCAGCGAGAACAGGTCAGACATATCGGCAGGGACCTCCATGTGATAGAACGCGGTTTCGACGTCCCCCGAGGCGATGTGGCACTTGCCTCCTGGCACTTCTAAACTAGCAAACGCACTGGGAGTTGGCAGACGGGTGCTATAGCTGGGGACCTAAAGGAGCAATTCACCACCCGCGTGTCGAAGATCAATCTTTGTTGGTCCCCTTTCTTGCTTGCGGACGAAAAACACTCCCATGGCCCCTTTTCGGCCCCGGGCAAGTTGAAAATGCAGCGTGCCCCGAAGGTGGGCCTCCCTTAAAAACTTTGCGTACTCGAGAAGGTTGGAGGAGAGGAGTGGATCGATGTAAGCCCCGCGCGGGCACGCCTCGCGGCGCAGGGCCTCCGCCTCAGCCGGGGGCCTAAGCAGATTCCCTCGCCATTCCTTGAACACTGACGCGTCGGCCGAGGAAAGCAGATCCAGGACAGGCGCCGGTCTGCAGCCCCGAGGGGGCCAAGAAACGCGCTCGAAAGAGTAAAGCGCCACGGGGCCCGAATCGGAAGCGTAAATCGTGGTCCCGGACAGGAGCTCGCCGAGGGCTCCCTGTTCAAAATCGGGGCCCCCCGGGGGGCGATCAAGGCCCCGGTAAGACTCCTGGATGTGGCGAAGCGCCTGCTCCTGACTCGCATTCGGTGAGGTAGGCTGGGCACGAGCGCCGTAGAGATCGTTCAAAACCGCGACTCCGTCCGCGGCCCAGGCATCAGCGTGCTCCAAGCACCGGCGGCGCCTCCGCGCCCTCCGGCTCGGCCTGGCCACACCAACGACGCTTTGCTGGGTCTGGGGGAGAGGCAAGGGAAAAAGGTCTCGCTGCACCCGCCTGGAAGATGGGCTGGACAGCCCGCGGGGCGGCAAAGACGGGCCCAAGACGCTGGGAGAGGAGAGGGGCCTGAAACTCTCCTCCCCCCCAGCACTCATTTCTTCTTGGACCCTGGCTTGCCGCTCGCCTCCGCGCTGGAGGTCCCGCTAGCCAGGGCCCTTTCTTCACGGGCTTTGCGACGTTATTTAGCAATCGCATATTCGCGGGCAAGCTCGGCCGTGACCCAGCTCTGAAGGTCAGGGCAGATGCAAAGGTTCCCGCGAACCTTACCTGTCCCCATGAAAAGGTGGCGATCGATGCCTGCCTGATCGGGGTTGGCCACTCTCTCTCTCTCTCTCTCTCTCTCTCTCTCTCTCTCTCTCTCTCTGTATCGTTCCTCCTGAGCCTGGAGGTCTCTGCGCACAATCTCCAGGCTCGCGTGATTGGGGACGTTGACTTGGTCATGCACTGCGGCGTGCTCCAGAGCCCTGCAGCATTTCTCGTGTTCATCAACCCCGAGGTCCGTATCGGCGAGACATGCTTCCTGACGCCAGCGGACATGTCGCCCCATAGGCGTCATGCTGTTTTCGGCAATGAAACGGCAGCACCAGCGGGCGGTGCGAGGTCCCGAAAGAGGCCAGTCGGGCCATGGGTCTTCTCGCATCTGTAGCGCCGCCTCTCTGAAGACACAGTGCCGCTGCCCCAGCTGGTCCCGGGTGTTCGGCAGGATCCGAACGTCCTGCAGCGGGGCCGCCGGTGGGGGCAACGGCGGGGCTCCTGCCACAAGAACGCCTGGGGCCCCAGGGCCCCCTCTCCCGGCCGCCGGCCCCGCAGGGGCCCCCGCTCCCGGGGCCGCCACGGCCCCTGGAGCCAGCCCGCCAGGGGGCATCGGGCCTGGCCCCGCTGGGGCCAAAGCGGCTGCAAGACCCGCCAGGCCGCCTGGAGCCGGGCCGCCGCCACCCGGGGCCGGAGCGAGAGGCGCCAAAGGCCCTCCAGGCACTCCGGGGGCAGCGCCTGGCGCCAAGCCGCCTGGTGGCCCTGCTGCCGCGGGACCTGCTGGAGCAAGTGCGGCGGGCGCCGCTGCCGGGCCTCCAGCCGCGGCGCGACCGACATTCACAGCGAAATGTGCGGCAGGCACAACGTTCAGACGGGCAACCGCAGCCGCCCAGGCAGCCAAGAAGGCGTGCAGAACCCGCCAGATGCGCCGGCAGACCGCCGCCCGCCGCGCGACCCACGAGCGGGGTCCAGGCCGAGATGTCTCCTCCGGGCAGCAGGTCCTCCTCGTAGCAGTCACCGTCGGGGGTGTACCCCGTGAAGGTGTGAGGCGGGTGGCTCGGAATCAGCAGGATTCACCTCTCATGCCACAACGCTGCCCCCGCGACGTTGTACTTCACCGCAATGAAATCGCCCTCGGTGATGCCAGCCGCCGAGAGCGCGTGGGCCAGCACCGGATGGGCGGCAGGCCCCGCCCCGGCTGGCCCCGGGGGGGCGGCGGCCGCCCCAGGAGGGATCAGCAGCGGGCCGGCGCCTGGAGCCGCCATGCCTAGCAGCGTTGAGCCGCGGCCGCGCGCCTCTCGCGCACCGCCGCCGCCTGGGCCCGCGCCTCAGCGGCAAAGTCCTCCCCCACCTCCGAGGCCGGCAGGTGCGGCACCTCCGGCAGGGCCGCCGCCACGCCAGCTGGAACGGGAACCGGCGGCGCCGGCCCCTGAACGCCTGCGCCTGCGGAGCGCCGCGGGCAGGCCAGCGCCGGCAGCAGCCGGCCCGCAAGGAATCCGATGAGACTGCCCACCCTACCCTCCCCCCACCACCCCCGACGTCGCGACTTTTTCCCAAAGGCGGCCCTGGATTTGTGAACCTCTTCCCCGGGATCAGGTCTATCCGGCTTTATTATCCTGAGCTGTGTGTTCGCTCCAGAAGACCAATGAGATTGTGAAGCCTGAGAACGGCCAAAAACGTTCCGTCGTCGTCGTCGCCCGTGGGGAGGGTCTCATGAACCCAAGTCCCAGAGGCCCTTTTCGAAACCAGAATGGTGGGAATGTCTTGGAGGCTGCTTGCGGCGTTCCGTCGTCGTCGTCGTTGTCGTCGTCGTCGTCGTCGTCGCCTCTTGGGGAGGCCTTTCGAAGGCGCAAGGAATGATGCCCCCAGAAGGCTTGTTGGCAAAATTAATGTTGGAAGTGCCTTGGAGGACTGCGTGGGGCGCTCCGTCTTCATCATAGCCTCTTGGGAGCCATGTTGGGGGCCTGATGAATCATGTTCCTGGAAGGCCTTCTAGGAAGATGATTTTGGGGCGTACCCCAATCTTGGAGGGCTGCATTGGCGTTGGCCATGCCTGGGGCCTGATGAATCATGTTCCCACAAGGACTTCTGGGAGCATGATCTTTGGGAATGTCTTTTGGGGCTGCTTGGGCCGGTCCGTCGTCGTCGTCGGCGTCGCCTATTAAGGAGCCATGTTGGGAGCCCGATGAATCATGTTCCCGCAAGGACTGTTGGGAACATGAATTGTGGGAATGTCTTGGGGGGGCCTGCTTGGGGCGTTCCGTCGTCGTCGTCGCCCATGTTGGGGCGTTCCGTCGTCGTCGTCGGCCACCGATTACCGCGTACCTTTAAAAAAACTGGGCGGGAAACCTGTGAAAGACCGAAGTGGACAAGGAGGAGCACGCAACGAGGGGAAGAAGACGAGCAGGAAAATGGTGCAGTCAGGTGATGTTACAAATATCGTCATCCGATGGACCCCCTCCTGATCCTTCCGGGGCCTCCCCCCAGCCGCTCAAATTATCCAGGGGCCTTCGGCCCATCCTGCCTCTTGGAAGCAGTTTCGAAGCCTCTCGGGGCCGGTTTTGTCGGCCTCTCGGGACCCCTTGGTGGCCTCTTGGGGCTTCTTGGGAGTCTCTTGGATTATTCGGGCGGACCCCGTTATTTATCAAGGATCCGAGGTGGGGGGTCCACTTTCCTCGAGCGGGCACGCGCGAAACGCATTGTTTCACGCCGAATTGGACTTTACCTTGTTTCTTTATCGAGCGGAAATATGCCAGCCCTCTTACGGGGGGGAATAAACCAACCAAAAGAGAACCCTGGGCTCGAGCCCTTTCCGGGAAAAAAGAAGAGCTATACTGAGCCGTCTTAGATAGCTGCTTTGAACACGTATTGGGCAAACTTCGGTGCATCTTGAGCCGTGTTGGGGTCCTACTGATTTGTCCTTGGCACCCAAAGCCGAGAAGATGTTGCGAACAATCATTTTTCGAGGATGCCTCCATGTCTGAGAACCTGGAACCCAAAACCCGGAACCACGAATCCGCATATCCGAACTCGGGGGTCCAATCCGAAACCTGGATCCGGAACCCGGAACCTGGGATCCGAATATCCGAACTCGGAGGTCCAATCTGGATCCTCGAACCCAAAACCCGGAAACCCGAATCCTGATATCCGAATCCGGAGGTCCAATCCGGAACCTGGAATCCAGAACCCAGAACCCCGAATACGCATATCCGAATTCGGAGGACCAACCCATAACCTGGAACCCAAAACCTGGACCCAAAATCTGGAGATCCGAATTTGGAAGCCCGACCCAAAACCGGGAATCCGGAACCCAGAACCACGAATCCGCATATCCGAATTGGGAGGTCCAATCCGGAACCTGGAACTCCAAACCCGGAAACTGGAATCCGGATATTATCTGAATTCGAAGCCCAACCCAAAACCTGGAATCCGGAACCCAGAACCACGAATCCGCACATCCGAATTCGGAGGTCCAATCCGGAGCCTGGAACCCGGAACCCGGAACCCGGAATCCGGATATCCGATCTGGGAGGTCCAATCTGGAACCTGGAACCCAGAACTCCGAATCCGGATAACTATCCGAATTCGGAGGTCCAATCCGAAACCTGGAAACTGGAAACCCGGAAACCGGATATCCGCCGTCGGAGGTCCAATCCGAAACCGCGAACCTGGAACCCGGAACCCCGATTCTGGATATCCGAATTCGGAGGTCCCATCCGGACTGGAATCCGGAACCTGGAATCCGGATATCCGAACTCGGAGGTCCAATCCGGAACCTGGAACCCGGAACCGGAACACGGATATCCGAATTCAGATTTCCGACTTCCGAATTCGACCTCCGAATTGGACCTCTCCAGCCTGATTCTCTGGATCGCCACTGAGTCCAGCGCACCCGTGCGCGCGTGCTCCGCAGCATTCATCTTTCCGCATTGCCCCTCGGCGCGCAGTGTATGAAGAGAGACCCGCACCCTGAGCGAAGACAGTTTGGCCTCCCGCCGGGGCCCTCCTGGGGCGCACCGTGGAGTCTTCTTGGGATGTCTTCGTGGCCTCTTGAGCCGTCTTACTCGCGCGTCTGCGGCCTTGTCAGTCTGCTCTCGTCGCTTCTAGCCTCTGGAGCTGTTTGGGCGGCGGGAGAAAAAAGCCAAGGAGGCCCAGGAGGCCCCGCACGGGTCAACGATGACGTGGGCCAGGAGGGGGGATCCGGGAGGGTGTCTGGGCCTGGGCCCCAGGGCCCCTGGTACCCCAGCAGGGTCTTCGAATGCGGAGGAGCCGAGGCATATATTGCACAAGGTCTCTCGTAGCGGCCTTCACGAATGCTGTAAAGGGTGGGCGCTCATGTGCACAGACGTCTCAGGAGCTAAAACAGACTCCAGACATGCTGGTGGAAAGGACCCACGCACCAGCCTCCAGGCTGTGGCTTGAATGGCAACAAGATGCTGCCGCACAGCCACTGAAAGTGGTGCAAAGTGGCACAAGCCATGCACAGAAGTCTCAGAAGCCGTCTATAACAGACTATGGGGGAGAGGACCCACGCAGCAGCCTCATAGCTGTGGCTTGAATGGCAACCAGATGCTGCTGGGCAGCCACCGAGAGTGGTGCAAAGTGGCACAAGCCATGCACAGAAGTCTCAGAAACCCTGTCAAACAGACACCCAAACAGTCCGGGGAGGCACGAGCAACGAAGACAGCCAAGCCACACCTGCACGCTGCCCCTGGGGAAACTTTTTGGCCTGGGCCGCCCATGATGCTTCACGACACTCGCAGGGGGCTGGGCGTCTCGAAGGGGGCCCTGGGGGCGCCAGCGTCCAGGTGCGTGTGTGTATATAGATGTATACATATACATATACAGATACATATACATATACATATACATGTACACATACATATACGCATCTCTTTTTTCAAGTAAACTGCTTGAGACACGAAGCCTGGCACGAAAAGCTTTGGCAGGCGGCCACACGCCGCTGTAAAGAGAGGCGCTCTGGAGGCACAGGGCTGGCGGAGGGAACCAGAAAGACTATAGAGCGGAAGGATGAAACGGAACTGTGCAATGCAATCTCCTTAGACAACGAACATGCATCTCTTTTTTTCCAGTAGGCTGCTTGAGACACGAAGCATGGCACGAGAAGCTTTGGCAGGCGGCCACACGCCCATATGCAACAAAACAAAGTTCCCGTCCGCAAGCATTGCGCTGGTTAGCCGTGCGTAAGCATCCATTTACGAGAGACGGTTCGAGCGACGATCGTCTGCGAGAGCATTTGCGCGAGCTGCTGACAGATGGCATCAGGATCGGCGTTTTTTTGGCGCGTGCGAAAATGAATGGCCCCTTTGGCCTTGCCAGACAACTCGAGATAAAACTCTCCTGTAAAGTCGCAGATACCGCGGCCATGACACTTCAGGGACAGGAGCTTGGGGGAAGGGCGGCAATGCAGAAAGTGAGAGCGAATGCGAGCGCGAAAGGGACGCCCCGCAGCAAATTCATCAACAACAGCTTCAAAGAATGAGGGAAAGAGCGCACGGCGCCGTCTGTCGGGGAAATGCCACAGCCAACTACTGCATGGTTTTCTTCGCAGATGGGAATGTTAAATTTGGTCGCAAGCTGCCAGGCTTGTCCGGCACGCTGAGCTAACAGGTTGCCAAGCTTGAGCTTGGCTTGATCAGCGGCGGATAGGCCAGGCAAGCCACAAAGGTGAGTATTGTCACGCAGGCGCCTGGGCATGCGCGAGTTGGGCCCACCTCGCCGAGCTTGCGAGAGTGTCTCACAAGGTGTGCCCAAGAACAGAGCCTTGACTTTGCCGCTCTGGATCCACCCTCGAAGCACTGCCCAAGGCGCCGCGTGAGTCAAATCAAACTCAGGCCCGTGTAACACATCCCATTCAATGACGGCATGCCCCGCCTGGCGCAAGTGCCTGGCAAGGTTTCCTGACCCACTAAAAAGCTCGATGAACACACGTGAGTCGGGGCCTGTGCTGCACTTCGCAGCTGCTGCGAGAACAGATTGCAAACGGCGCCTGGCCCATCGGCCAACGGCTCGATGGCTGGGTGGTACAGGATTAAATTTCTCATCGCCTCGATCGCTGCTCATCCTAGCTCGTCGGAAAGCCGCACGCTGCTGAAGGCCTGCAAACTTGCGCGCTGCTGCACCTCCATTAGCATGCGGCTGCCCGTTGGGTGCTCGCGGGTGGCGCCGCCGTGTCTGCGGCGCTAGAGCGTGCTTGCTAAACACCTGGCTTTGACATCCTCGCGCACCTGGCCAGAGCGCCGTTGGCGGAGGCTGTAGCCGAAGCCCCACGCCGGGAGCGAGGCAGCTGGGCGGGCCTCCAGCCGGCGCGCCCAGCCCCACGCCTGGGCCGGCTGCCGCAGAAGACAGAGCGCAGCAGTGTGACCCCTCACGCCTGTCCTGCCTGGCAGCCCCAGCAGTGCGATGAGCGACGCCACCAACGCGCCCAAGCCTGCGTTGGGATCCGCGCTGGCTGGGCCTGTGCGCCGAGCAGCCTGCAACGCCAGCGCCTCTGGGGCCCGAGAAGGGCCCACGCGAGCCCGGGCTGCCACCGCCCGTGCCAAGCTCTGGTCGAAGGCCTCCAGGAGGAAGCCAGCTAGCGTTGCGCCCCGCACCGCCTCTGGCCTGGCGACCGGCGTGGCTGCGAAGCGCCAGCCTGCCGGGAGCTGCGACAGCTTCAGGAAGCGCACCAGAATGGACGGCTGCACCTTGTTGATCGCCAGCAAGCCCCGGCGGGGCGGCAAGCGGGCCCGCTCCTGGGCGAAAGGCGGCGGCGGCTGCGCTCTGATCCTTGCGAATCCGCGCTTGCCGCCTCGGGCAGGATGGGCAGCCCAGAAGGCTCGGCCGCCTGGCGGGTCACCTCCTGCTTCAACACTGCTCCGACGTCGCCGAAACTGGTCTCCTTGCTTGGGCCACGACGGCCCCGGGCCAGTTTGAAATCGCCTCGAGGGGCCATCAGCAAGGTTGAGCTCTGAAGGGGTCCATCTGAAGGCGACTTTGAGGTTGCAGGCGACTGAGATGGCGAAAGAGCAACGGTAGCCAAACAAAAGGCCGTAGTCCGACGCTCGACCCTTTTCATGAGCACAAATCATCGACATATTGTCACCCAAGCCTAGCAGACGATGCCCGTGACATTGCAAATTGCGAGAGGCGCGCCGCAGCCAGAGCAGACCTGCTGAGCTCTCGAGCCTGTGGATGGCACTACTCCGCCTCCACCTGCAGGCCACCGCAGTGACCCAGTTCGACTCCCACAGCAGCTCAGTATTCACTTCTGCAAAGCCCGCCGCTCGGCCCAGCAAGGGTGCAGCAGGGTCAGAGAGCTCGATCGCGTCGGCGGCCAGGGCGGCATCCCGCGGGGCCACCAAAGTGGCAAGGGGCCCGCGGAAGCGCAGCTTCTCCGGCTGCCTGCCCCGCGGCCTGCACCGCGCTGAAAAAGCCAGCGTGCCGCGCAGACCCCCGCCCCCCCAAGAAGACGCGTCAAAGGTCCCGACCTCCGCGTGCCACGGCCTCTTCATATCAGCGAACGCGGTGGGCAGTAGCGCCAGCACCCACCTGAGCTCCTGCTGACAGCTGGCCCACAGCGGCTGGGCCTTGTCGTAGGTCGAGCGGATGAAAACGTACACTGATCTGAGCATGCTGAGCGCCTCGCGCCGCAGGAACAGCAATGCCGCCACATGCCCCACTAGCCTCTCCAGCTGTCGCCCAGTGATGCATCTCCTCGCTTCCAGCAAGTACTGGATGCAGCCGTGCACTCGACAGAACTTCTTGGAAGCAGGACGCCACCTGGCAGCCTTCGAAACCTGCGCGATGCCAAGGAGGGCATCGTCCAGGTCGAGCGTGGCCCTGACGCCCTCTGTCGTGAAAGTGTCCAGCATGTCATTGACGACCTGCCTCGCAGTCGGACGGCTGGTACAGATCCCAGCACAGCTGTCTATGTACAGGACCTTAAGCGGCGTCCGTGCTGTCCGACAGGAACGCCCCCGGCTGCTTGTCGACCAGCCACTGGTTGTCGGGAGAGACAGAGGCCAGCACGTTCAGGTGGGCGGCCTGCACGAGGTGCACAGCCCAGTTCCATCCCATGGGGACGACGCGTGCACGGAAGGTAGTCCGAGGCCGCGAAGCGCCTTCTTGCCCCAGCGCCTCACGTAGCCGGGCGGGCAGCAACTGGGTCGCCACGTCGGGCTGGCAGAAGTAGTTCCTGGCCCAGCCCGGTAGCAGGTATTGATAGAAGCAGACCTCCACGTCGCCAGCAGCCAGGTGCACCTCCTCGCCGGGCGCGCACTCCAAGCTGCTGAGGGCGCCCCCAGAGGCCAAGTGTGTGTACTCGGGCGCCCTGAAATGGCAGTTTTCCCTCCTGGTGTCAAAGGCCTCAACTTGTCATCCTTGCGCGGTGCAAAGAAGATGCCCGTCTCCTCCTTCCGCTCTGATTCGTAGTCCAAAACTTCGACGATGCCTGCTTCGAAAAGCTCAAGCAAGAACCGTCCGTAGTCGATGCCCCGCTGGGCCAGCTCGCTGTCAACATAGCATGCGACATCCGCCTCGTCCAGAGCGGCAAATGCCCCCTGCTCAGAACGCAGTAACCCGCGCCCAGACCCCAACGCGGACTGCAGGTGCAAGGGGAGCAGTCGAACGAGATCAACCTTACCCGCACCGCGAGGGGGAAGAGAGACCTTCCCGCGCTGGTAGCCCGCCTTCGCCCCGATAGCAGGCTCATCAGCATAGCCAGGTCGAAGCCCCAGAAGCGCCTGAAACGCCTCCTGGTTGGCGCGCACTTCGGTCTTGGGCGGGGAGGAGGCGTGGACCTCGGCCAGGTGGCGCAGCGCGGAGCGCGGAGCCAAGCTGAGCCGCCCGCCGCAGCCCGCCGCACGCCCGCCACCGCCCAGCTCGTTGAGCGCGGCGACGCCCTCCAGCATCCAGCGCTCCTGCCGCCTGCAGCGCGCGGCTTTGCGCCGCTGCCCGAGCGGAAGCTCACCGTTGAGGGCTGAGAACCCCTTCATGTAGTGGAGCGTCTCCGAATCCAGAGGGATGGGCAGCGCGTCTCTTTGGACGAGACCGTCGTTGCCAAAACCCAGCGAGGGGGCCTCATCATCCCGCGCGCCTCGCCTCCCCTGCAAACTCGCGCCGAGGCCGGGGGCCTCCCCGATGCGAGGCGGCGACTCAAGCCCGCCGCACGCGGCCGCGGCCGCGTGCCTGGGGCTGGGCGACCGCCGCCGCGTGGCCGGAGGCAGTGCCTGGGTCGGCGCAGCGCTCCAGCAACCTTTCCTCTCGTACCGTCCCGC